AGAGCTATTTTGTAACAGTGATCATCCTGCAGCAGGCTTCAGAAATGACAAGCTGCTCACCAAAACCCACAGAAGCTGGGACTGAAATCTCTTAAGATATTCAGGGGCTGGAAGATAAATAAGACAGGGCCAGCTGTTACGTATAAAACTACTACCACAGTAGGATACCGGCATTGTAAGCCTGGGAGACAAGGAAGCGGTTCCCACTTCACGCACCAGTCCACCAGCCTCCTGGCTAATAAATCCTTGACCAGTGCATGCCCCAGGCATTTGGCAAATACTGCAAAACAGGGTTTATGGGAGCGGACAGTCTCTGCATAATATTTATTTGAACATAAACCCACACCAGCTGGCACTGGGAACTAACAACTCAAGTCATCCGGACACATGTAGTCTTCATGATCATAACTTAACCAGTGAAATCTTGGTAAAGGACATGGATCTGTGGGTGATTCATGGGCTAAAATGACAGCGCTCAGGTGATGTGACAGCTCTTCCAGCCCCTGCTGGAAGCACACACAGCTTCTCTACACTCAGCTGAGCACTTTGGAAAGAGGGAAGCCCTTCTCCAAAGCTGACAGCACCAAGTTCTACTCAACAATACTAAACAGAAGTGATCTAATGGTGGGTACCTGCTGGGATGCAACATACTTGTTTGCAGATTGTAATTATTACAGGATCTGCTGTGCTTTTAGTTCTTGCTGATTTTGTTTTGGCTTGTCTTCTCTCATTTAAATGCAGAGCACGGGTAACACAAACAGCAGCTGTGTGAGTTACAGAAAAATCTTAAGTGGACAGCCTCTTTTCTGGTAAGTGAGGCTCAGCTCAGAAAAGTATTTCTTACAGATAGCACCATGGTATTCTTCAGATTTTTTATTCTTCAGAATTTTCTATCACCTGCTTAATAATTTTCTTATCAAATACGGTCATTTTTGCTTCTCTTTTAGAAAAGATAGCTGAAACATCAGGAATCCTTCATCTTCAAACATCCTTCAAACTGAGCACTGTATTTAAATGTCAGTGTTGTGATTTTCATGCTGAATATATTGATAGGATTCGTACCACCCATCTGTGGCGATGGTTGGGCTTGACTGCTTTTGAGGTCTTTCTAATGGTGTACTTTGGGGTAAGGAATAATGAAAAACACAGCATGCAAACATAAAATAATTTTCCTGTCTACCACACCAGGTCTTGCTTAGCCTGCATACTATTCTCCAAAGTACAAGAAATTGAAAACCCTTCTAAAATGAATTCTTGATCTCAACTCTGGGTGATCTACAGCAACTTCATAGAGTAGGGAATACTTATACACAGGAAGGGAAGGTACGCAGTAAGCCTTGTGAAGGGTGCTGCCTGAGCAGCAAGACAGTCCAAATTTAGAATAAATGCAACATTCCTCACCATCAATTGCTCCATTCCTGTGAAAGTGACTTGCAATGTCCTGACATTTTCCCTTTGCATCATCAGTACCATTATGAGGCAGCAATAATGTTAGCAGCGATGTAAACATTCTGTTGCCTTGGCAAACACAGATCCAAACAGAACACATCTGCCTGAAGCTCAACCACACCAGAGGTTGCCCGAATTCAGGAACCCATCCCTGTGAAAATCCTCCTTCCGACTGTAAAAGTCTGCAGCTGCTGCTTTGCTGCTGAAGATACCTGGTCTACCCACACTTGTGTGACGACTTGCAGTGTATTGACACGCTGCGTGGGCACTGCAGTCCTGCAGCCACTGTTTTCCTTCCCCTGGGCAGTGGCTGGGACCAGCAGCACAGTGCAGTGCTTGCCAGCTGCTGAGGGTGCAGGGTGGGCACACAGCAGAGGCTTGTGCCACCTCCATTTCAGCCTGCACAGGTAGCTTTGCCTGTCAACTGGGCAATGGCAATTGGCTGCTGCCCCCAGGGAGAACAGAAGCAACCGGGAGCAGCCTCCTCTGCTTCTCCCATGTCCTGATCCTGTTGGCAGTGGCAGATCAGCTGGCTGCTGGTAGGGAGAGATAAAAGTAGCCTTAAACACAATATACATGGGCATGGGTCATCTGGTGGAAGCTGGGTTCCTCTGCAGCTGAGAAAGACTAGGTGCAGGCCAGGAACAGAGCAAGAGAAAAGAACCTTCCCATGGTGTAGGAAGAGGGGCTGTCCTTGGAAAGATGACAGACAACACACGCTCTAGTATAAGCCCAAGGGATGCTTGTGCATTTTGCATGATAATGCACGCACAGACAAAGAATATAAACAAGCTAGGCCCCTTTGTGGAATTGACTAGTGTTTTAAAGCACAGCACAAACACTGCCCCTGCTGGGATTTAGTTCATTTATTTAACGATGCAGAAAAGAATATAGCCCTCATCTTCCCCAGGCTATGCTGAATCTTCAAGGCTGATAGATAATTTTGCTTAAGGAAGTGAGTGACACTTCTCAGAACTGAAGCGATTTTTAAGGCTCCCAATATACTTTCGTTTACCTCTTGTATTTAAATTGTGTTAATCCAAGTCTTGAAATTATATACATTCTGACAGAAAGCAATTTCCAAGGCAAGTAACTGGCTGTAAGCCATTGTTAAAAATAACATAAAGGACTGGACATGACCTTTGGTCTGTCATCTGCTCTCCTGGTTGTCACATCCACATCCCTTAAATATATCACTTAAAACCTTATAGTGCCTTCTTCTCTGCATAAAAAAATCAGTCAGTAGATTTTAATGACATTTGTATCTTCCTTGAAGTTAGGCAGTTGGGATTGTCAAAACCCAAGCAATGGTAGTCATAGATAGTGTTTTATTGCTACTACTAATAAATAAACCATGGCAAATTAAAATATTTAATGTGTAATAACATTGGTATAGTAAAAAAAAAAAGTGGGTATGGCTTTATTAAGGCAAATGCAGTACCTGAGGTACATCCCTTTAAGCAGGACTTCAGAGTCTTGAGAGGTTATTTTTAGCTAGTCTTGACTTAACACTCATCAGTCATCTTTTACTCAGTTGCAGGCTGTTTAGCATGCTGCTGGCTTTGCTCTCTCCCTCTCTTTCTCATTTCAGATTATGATAGTTTCTCCTCAGTGTTTTAAAACTTATCCCTCACATTTCTTGCATTTGAAAATAAGGTTATCTACTTTGCCGCAGAGGTCTGTACCCACTGACTATTTGGCAAGGGTCAGTTCTGAGCCTCACACTGTGAAGGTTGTTAGTGTCTGTGTCACTTTATTGCAAGGTACATATTTGCAGCTGTGGGCTTTGCTTAAATTAATGCATTCTTTTGAACTGTAGAGAACTCATACTGTATATTTTGACTCCCTAAACACTGTTTGGCATTAAAAAAGAAAATACAATTTATACTGCAATGAAAAAAAAATAAAAATCAGGCTATTGATTTGAGCTTTCATTAAGCGTATGTTTGTGCAAGAACTAATGCTACCACTGCTTCCAATAACTAGTAATGTCACTACTGAGGCTTCCACGTTTGAGCTCTTCTTCTAACTGTGAAGAGGACCAAGGAATTAAAACAACTGCAGAAAACCAGAAAACTCAACAATCAGTCATCTGGCAGTACAGCACATTGCTGTGGATTTAATGGGATTGGTTTTCTACCGCACCTGCTGATCCAAGGTGGCAATATTTATAGTGAGTTTTTGAGAAGCCTACTTTCTATTTAAGGACTGTGTCCATAACTGAACTGATGAATTAAAAGCCCCGAGGAAGATGTTCATGAGATTGTCTGATGGTGGTTACCAAACCCTGTTTCCACTTCCCTCACTGCTGATTAGCTTAACAAGCAAGGATTTGGCACCATGCTCTGAGAGCTTTGAAAAGAAAAAGAGAACAAAGGACTTCACCAAATAACAAAACAACAAAAAACAAACAAAAAACCCCAAAATATTAATAAATAGCACAATTTTGAGGAAAGATGAGTCTCGCTTCTTTAAAAATAACCAACAACTTATGACATGAAATGTAAACTAATGTTCATTCTAAGTTGTTTGCATTCTATGCAGCCCACCCCAAACCTATGCACCACTTAAGTACAACTTGAAAGAGTTAAGAGAAATTTGTACTTTCCACTGAAATCTTGTGGCATTTACTGTTTCATTTATAAAAAGCTGTTTCTTGGAACAAAGTGATAATGTTAAAAATCGCATTTGTAAATAAAAGCGCATGCACTCATGTTTGTGTGGTAATGTTAAATGTTCAACAAATACAAAGAAAAATTAGTAACAATGTATTCGTAGGGCCTAACATTGTCCTATATTACAAGTAAGTTCTAAGACTGGTTGTTCTTCAAGTAGCTCTATGGAGCTACTGTAGCAAAATCAAACCAAGAATAGGTAAGGCTACAAGTATTTCTTGGGTCCTTCCAGCAGAAGTGCCAAAACCTGGTGAACATTATTTCATTCACTAAGAAGTTATGCAAAAATTACCATCTTTGGTCCACTGTGAACTCTGAGTGAGGAAAAGTTTAATGTGCCCCAGGGGACGCAGTCCCTGTTCAGCACTTCTAGAAAGCAAATTTACACAATTTGCACAATTTCTGTCTGGAAAAGGACCCCCAGACAGGTCTCTCAGGTCTTTCCGTTTACAGTACTTTCCTCTCAAAAATTTGTTATCTGAGAGAGACAAATATCCTTTCAAAATAAAGAATGACTTCATTCCCCTGACTCACTGGCAAAACCCAAAACTCACTGAAGTGGCAGACTTAACTGCAAGTGAAACTAACAAGTCACAGTTCTCTTTTGAACATTGATTCAAGCTATAAGCAAGCCAAGAAGTCCAAGCAAAGCTGTAAATCAGATTCTGGTCCCATCAATATCAGAGCTGAAATGCAATACTTCAGGCCTGTGTAACTGACATTACAATGTGGACCATTCTCCTCTCACAGCAAAGGAAGTGTGTTTTCCAGCAGTAATCTTCACAGTATGCCTGTGATATGGACAGGGCTTTGTAACATTGGTAAGTCAAGACTGCTTCCCAAGGTATAATGTTTTAAGGATTTGGGTCTTGTTACTGTTCAAGAAGTTTTTCAAACTCTTATGGCTTCGTCTGTGATCTTGAACTTGTGAAGGATAGTATGTTGGGAGAGTATCACTGCAGACAGACAATTCCTCAGTTCCAAGCTCCAAGTCAGCCGGCATTGGGTCAGATTCACCCTTCTGTGCTGTACAGTTTCTCAGCTGCAGTTCTTTGGTGAAGCAGAATTCAATCTGACCAATTGTTTGTGCTTTTTCACCCTAGAAACAGGAAGGATGAGATCAGCTTGATGGAGAAAAGAAATAAATCAATTCTTCAGATATACTGCCTTATCTATAGAATACAGTCATGCTTATTTGTATGTTTGCTACTTGAAAAATGGGAAGGAGACAGGTACCAGAGGCATCAACTTTCAACAGCTTATCATAAATATTTGTCTTTAAGGAGCAAGCAGACAAGGAAGCAAATTCCAACAACATAATTCAGTAACAATGTAGGGAATCTGCCTAACTAGCAAGTCTCATTACAAAATGCTGTGACATCGATCATCTTAGCACTTAACCAAATCTGCACCATACACAGGAGCTGTTTGCCCTAATGATGAACTCCATCTAAACTCTGTGAATATTGAAGGGTATGTGTGACCTGAAAGCCACCTTTCACCAACTCTTTTGTAGGATGAGAATTAAGGCAAAGAAAATTCTCCAAAAATTAGAAAATAAACTTGGTTCTTTAACAGCTGTTATTGTAAAGAATACAAAAGCAAGCTGCCAAAAGTATCAGAAAAGTCATTTTCGGACTACAGGACAGGCAATAAGGCAAGCAGGCATGGAAGAAGTTTATATGAAAATCCCCCAAAATGCTCAGGTGTGAGAAAGTGCATGTGGAAAAAGAAATGGTTTTGAAACCACTAAGCAGGACAAAAATACGTGTACAAGGCAAAAATTACTATAGTGGGTTTGGTTTTTTTGGTTGCTGTTGTGGCTTTGGTTTTGCAGTTTCTTTTGGTTGTGTTTTTTGGTTTCTTGGCTTGGTTTTGACTTTTTTTTGTTGCTGGAGATTTTATGTTTGGTTTTCTTTCTTTTGTTGCTGGAGATTTTATGTTTGGTTTTCTTTCTTTTCTTCTTGTTGGGTTTGGGGTGTGGTAGTGATTTTTTGTTGTTGTTGTTGTTTTTGTGGGGTTTTCTTGTTTTGTTTTTTTTTGATTGTTTTTTCAAGAAACTTAAGAACACAGCAAGTGTGCAATGCATTTTAAACATCAAAGCACCTCTACAACACACTTCAGGCATTGACAAGGCTGGAATTCTGAAAAGGGCTATCTTTAAATAACTGGAGTGTACTTTTTCCTTTCTAATTACCATTACCTTCAGCTACTAAGCACAGGAGACTGAAGTTGTAAATTACTTTCACCTAAGTTGTGAATGCTCCATCCCTGGCAGTGTTCAAGGCCAGGCTGGACAGAGCCTTGGGTGACATGGTTTAGTGCAACGTGTCCCTGCCATAGCAGGGGGGTTGGAACTAGATGATCTTAAGGTTCTTTCCAACCCAAACTATTCTATGACTCTATAACTTAAGCAGTATCCCAGTTGTACTAAAAGCAATGGCAGAACTACAGAAAACAGAGCTAGAAACTGGGATTTGTTTTAGCTCTGTATTTCTTCAATATCAAGAGGTGGCTGAGTGTGCAATCCACATTCAACTCATATTCCTTTGTGGCTTAAAGTAACTTAAAAATACATTTTAAAAATGTAACATAGAATCTTTTTTCACGTGAACAAACATCTGAGTATAAAAACCTCAGAGCACTACTAAAGCAAATGAGCTGACAATACAGAAGCTATTAAACTCCAACAGCAACTTTATCTTGGCAAGTTTTCATAAAATTGTTGTCTGTGTATGGGCAATAACTCTGCCAAGTGTTTTGTTGTAAACCACTTTTATCAAGCTGAGATAATCAGGAACCAATCGTATGAGGGAAAACTATGTTGTGGGTTTGATTTTTTATTTTCTTTTTCAATAAAAGCAGAGTAACCTAGCTGGAAAAGGATATGCAGCCTACCCACGTAATTGTTCAGAACACTATTTTGTTCCTTCAAAATCACTTTTAGGTCAGATATGGTGACCTGTATTTTACACTACAGCACACTGTCTCTGCATACCACATTCTCTACTGCATCATAATTCACAGTATAATTGTTGGCAAGGAAAAGCAGAAAGAAATGGAAGTTTTAGACACTGTTGGCTCAAACGGAAAGAATATAGTCATCCTGCCTTTTTTGCACGTCTTTAGGTATAGGCTTTTGAGCACAGCCTTCGAGACAAGACTCTGAGCCGCTTTATTTCTGAAGGATTTTGACTATTGAGTAACAACTTTATGAAGAACATGAGTTTGGCCCAGTGAAGGGAAGACTGCTGTTGACAGGCAGTACCCTTGTCAAGGCCGACAGTGACCAATTCCATTCAGCTCACTCTTACTGGTTCTAGTAATATACTATATGGCAATTAAGCTATAGAAGGAGGAGTGCGAAGTACTCGGCTACAGCAATACCTCTAGTGTGGTGGTTGCAGCATTCACGGAAGGGATGCTGGTTCAAATCTTATAAGACAAAGAGACCTTTAAAACCCAGTGCTCCCACTTTCTGGGTAAGTATACTAACAGAAAAGTCACTAGGTAATGAACGGACATTTCTTGCACTAAAAATATTTCTGCATTAAGAAAAAGCTGTGGCAACAGTACATAGGATGACATCAGTGGTGCCAGGACGTAAACAATGTGGTGTTACAAACTCAACTCCAAGAATCAAGCAATTGGTATCTGCAAAGAGCTCCAGACCCAAGTTTCACCATGCTGAAGATTCTTCACTCTTTTTGCTTTTGTTTTTTGATAAAAAGTGCTCTTTGAAAAATTAAGTTGCTGGGTTTTGTTTGGTTGCTTTATTCGTTTTTCAGTTTGGGAGTGTGTGTTTGTTTGGGGTTTTTACCTCTTCTGGAGGAAGACACTGGATCTTTGGTGTGACACCGTAAAATCTTGTAAGAGCTTCCTTTATGGCAGTCATCTGAAAAATTGAAAAGCTTACATAAATTCATAAGTCACTAGCACATCTTCCAACAGCTCCTTCACTTGTTAAGTTTACAAAACCTTAGATAAAGCACAACATTAAAGAACTATACAATTTTTAAAAGATTACTTATTCTCTATTAATCACGTATTAGTTGAAATTGCTCAAATCCTGCTGAAAAATACGCACGTGATTGTTTTATAAAAGATTGCCTCTTACCTGGTAATATGAACTGCTTGGCTTTATTCCGGCTTTCAGGAGACAACTGAAACAAAGAGAAAACATTTTTTCCATGGCTCCTGTATGCAAACGTATCATAATCACTAGGTAAACAGATAATCTTAGTGAGATTTTGGCAGGAATTACAGCAATAAGGAGCAAAGGAAGTTCTGCCAGGCCAAGGAAAGATTCTCCTTTTCTGAAAGGCCACTCCCATCCAACTTAGCAGGATCAGGAAGAACCCTCTCCCCCACCTTAATCTGAGGAAATGGGAGAGTTGAGTCTTCAGACACAGCTACAGGAAAGGCAGTATTACTGTTATTTGCTGGACTTTCAGAATGCTCCACTGAGTGCCAGGTAGGACATGCAGTTTAACTGCTTTGTTTCCCCTGCCTTGAGCAATACCCAGGTCATGAGGGAGGGACAGAGGCAGACCTGTAAGGCTGCTCTAGACACCCTCAAGTTCTAATGCAGGATGGGCTTGCAAGAGTGGAAGGCGTACAACACACTGGGAGAGCGACATGGTGCACGGATCTGGATCACCACCAGGGCAGAAATGTTTCCTTATGAATATGTTTCTGGAAGAGGAAAAGTTTGGTCATATAGGAGAAACAAGGTAAGTCTCATGAACCTCAGGCCTGTATATCCCTTTCTTTAGATTACTGAATCTAAAATCTCAATCTTCCCGAGGGAAGTCTGTACTTCCAGGTTGACAAGACTCAAGACCCAATAGGTGCCAAGTCTTTAAGTCCCAGCTTCTTCTGTAAGGAGTAGAAATGTTCAGCATCTTGCAGGATTTAGTCCATGACCACTGATAATGCTCAACCCTTCCAAGGTCAGGTTCTGCACAGGGGAGGTTTAACGCAGTTGAGTAAAGGCCTAGCTGTGTGGCATAGTCATTTTACCCTTGATATAAGGGGGCCAATAAAGTAGATGATGTTCTATTATTCTTACAGAAGCCTGCAAGATGTCCCCTTTTAATAATTTGCTTTTTGGAAACAATCTTTTAATCACTAGCATTATTTTTTTCCATTGAAGTATAAATGAAGTAATGAGAGCATTACCAATCTTTATTCTTTCCAGTAAAGATTAAATTAATTATGCTCATTTTTACAATGGAGAATATGCTCTGAGCAATTAATTTCAACATGTTTCAGTCTCTATACTTTTTTGGTGTTACACATGCTGATAGAGAGTCACATAATAAGTGACTGTGTCATCTGTAAAATGTTTTAGTCATGCCATCACAGCTGCTTAGACAATTGACTTATCAGGCATTATTAACACTATATATGACATGCTCTTAAGCACTGTGTCTAGAAAAATCTGATTAAGTTTTACAAGACACCTATGAAAATGGTGGGGGGAAACCTTTTTTCCTTTGCGCATATGCAAAGTGAATGAGACTTTGTCAGGAGATTGTTCTGTCAGTGTCAGAACATAAGCAGCATTTCAGGATTTAAAAAAAAAAGAAAAAAAGAAGAATGTTTCTAGATACAAAAGAACTTACTTATTTCATCTCTCAGGTAGTGTCATCTTACTGAGAGAGAGAATTCATGCTCAACAAATCCGAGTCAACCATCCTCCTACCCATACCAAGCACTGACCAGGAAACAACTCTGGCCTCCTGGCATTCACCTGCAGCCAAAAAAAAAGAAAAAAAGAAGTATGTTTCTAGATACAAAAGAACTTATTTCATCTCTCAGGTAGTGTCATCTTACTGAGAGAGAGAATTCATGCTCAACAAATCCGAGTCAACCATCCTCCTACCCATACCAAGCACTGACCAGGAAACAACTCTGGCCTCCTGGCATTCACCTGCAGCCAAAAATATATAGTGCTTGGACAAGCCATCACGTTCCCATTAAGATTTTCTACATGGAATGGCCAGTGCTTTGGAACCATGAGGAGGAATCAGCCGCTAGGAAAAAGCAAGAGTGTCACATTGGTGTTATTTGAAAGGATAGCATAGGGCTGCCTGCAGTGGCTGAACACCACCCTTCAGAGGACATCCGGCCTTGCTGCTAATTCTCAGCCTTTTACCCAGGCTGTTGTAATGATTTTGCCTGCAGCTTGTCCTTTCCTCTGAGCAGAGCATTGTCCTTTCTAAAAACAATGTTTGGGCTTCAGTACGACTCAGAAGTTTGGGTGTTTCTGTCACCTGATTTAGAAGTTTACTGGTACCATAGCTTTAGGTAGCAAGATATAGCCCATAAACCTTCCAAAAATTTACTGGCTCACATTGTCAAAAATGATGCTGTGAAGAATGCTGCTGGCTTACCAGACTCTGAAGTGAACAGAGAAATGCTTCTCAGAGTAGACAAGCCTTCCTCTGAACTCCAGTACTAAAAATAATTTATGCTAATACTCATTTCCCTTCTACCATCAGATTTTTAGACTTTTTTTAGGCTAGACTTGAAACTTTTAGAAACTGTTTGAAATAAAAGGCAGACCATGGACTTCACTTATGTACCTGTTGAGATCAACATGACGGTAGAGTTCTAAGGCTTTACCGAAGTATTTCTTCTGAGAATTAAGGACCTGAAGCATGGCTGCACAGGTGCCATGCTTCTCCCACTCATGTTTCCTATAGGAGAAAAGTAAAATTTAAGTTTTAGAAAACTTTATTTGCAGATATATTTGCTGTGCAAGCTAGCCAATATACTTAAATCAAGTATCTGAAAGGCTGGATGCTGGAGAGGGACTCTTCATTAGGAACTTTAGTGGTAGGACAAGGGGTAATGGGTTTAAACTTTAAAAGGGGAAGTTTAGATTAGATATAAGGAAGAAGTTCTTTACAGTGAGGGTGGTGAGGTACCGGATCAGGTTGCTCGACAAAGTTGTGAATGCTCCATCCCTGGCAGTGTTCAGGTCCAGGTTGGAAGGAGCCTCGGGTGACATGGTTTAGTGCGAGGTGTCCCTGCTCATGGCAGGGGTTTGGAACTAGATGATCTTACGGTCCTTACCAGCCCAAACCATTCTGTGATTATAAGTTAGTCCAGTCTGGATGTTTAGGTTTTTTTTAGCTGTCTCCTCTGAATCAGTTTGCTTTTTAAATAATGAAGTGAAGGAATTTATGAAGTAAATCATGCTCTTATGATACAAAGGTCTCTTGATGTATTACAAAGAGATGTTTGGAAGTCAGAACAGTAAGAATTTGCCTAGAAAACAAGTATTTCTAAGCTTCGAGTAAATTTTCGTGGAGTCTTTGATGTTAAATGTACTTGCAAAGCACTAAAAATTTTTTAGAACTGAAACTGCAGTTTCACTATTCCACTTTATTCTGGGTGGAAGAGTGAAACTGCACAAGCTGCTAAGACAAGACTGTTGCCTCAACTTCTACTTTGGCCTGTGGCAGTATTTTGATAGGCCTGCTCTCAAGTCTTGCTCCTGTTCCACTACCAAGTCTTCTAATACCAAGAAACAGAGTGAAAAAGAAAGCAATTTTTGCTATTTTATGGCAAACTCCAACAGGACCAATAATGAGGCGAAGCATTGTGCCTGTCTTTTGAAGGCTTTCAGGAGTACTTAAGTGTCCTGCTGTTTCCAGAAAGAAGGCAGAGATACAGAGCCAAAGATCTGATGGTGCTCAAGCAGCACATTATTGCTAACCTGGAACTGCTATTGGAGTGCTTTGGTCCAGTTCACACTGACCACAGGGCCCAGGCAACGGCACTGTGGGGATGCCAGGTGAAAATACACAGAGCTACCCACAGGCAGTGCCCATGTAGCATCAGCTGCAGCAAGCCCAGAATACACCAGGCCGAAGCTTTTTTCATCAGTCCTGTGAGCTTCCAGAATGGAGAGCTACTTTAGAGGCACCGCAAACCAATTACCGAAACTTTCAGATGATGCTGTTGACAGTATTACTTAAATCTTGCAGCACAGCCATGTGAAAAAAATATAATGATGCAGATACAGCTGATCCAGACCATTCATTGCACGCATATGAAATTTCACCTTCACCTCTTCCATTTAAATGCAAATTGAAGCGGTTAGGAAATGAAAGAGCTGTAAGTACCAGGGAATAACATAACATAATTTGTTTAGAAATCAAAAGAATTAATGTCTCAATGTTATTCACCATGACACATTGTATTTCACCTAGACCACAATAAGACAAGGTATTTCTACTTGAGCGTCAGCTCACAGCTGGGTGGCATGTACATACAGAACAAACCTTCCTACATTCACAAAAGCCACCCGTCTTTCTGTAACTCCTGTACCCATGAGCTAGGCTGTAGCACAGAGCACATATGCTAGCTGTCAAGAACTTTGCTGAACATTTTTATCTTCCTTGCAGGATACAAGTACTTTGGCAGGCACATAGGAGTGGAGCTTACAGCACTAGACTGGCTTCCACTATATAAACTGTCCTTCTCCACCATTCTCTCTATGGTGTTGCTAAGAATGAATGTTACACTTGCACACCTCAAATCTACAAATGAAGTTTCAGAGGGTTGCAAAAATGCAACATTACAAAATTGGTACAACTCAGCTACATGAAAAGGAAGCTCAACCTCAGAGATTTTGCTTCCTGTTTGTACAAGGGCAGAGTTCACCCAAACACAGTCACATGGATGTGACAAAGTCAGGAGCATATAAGGTGGGTCCAAGGATTACAGATACCACCCAGCCTGAAGGCTGGCTTATTACTAGGGTAGGAACAAAGAAGTTTTGTTAAGCACAACTGCAAGTGCTGCCCACAAAATGTAGAAGATTAGGGACACCAAGCTGTCCTACAGGCTAAACACTGATTTTCTTCTGTATCATATAAACTGATCCTGAAGGGAATTCTCTTAGTAAAGAAATTTTTCTCTGGTAAAACAAAAAAAATAAAATCAATTACTATAAAAGAGATTATTTTAGTTAATAAATTTGAGATATAAAGCACACCTAACCCTTTGTCCTGTATTAAGGCATTCTATCGTGTCCAGTTGAAACTCTTGGATGGCAATTGTCACAGTTTGTAAGTTAACAAGGTGAACAGAGATATGCATCTACTTTTACAGACGTACCTGCAGCCATTGTAAAATCACCATGAAGATTCCCTACCTCCCCTTTTAAGCCAGGGCTATACTTAGAGGTAAAGCCAGGAAGAAATACACTACACAATTATAGCAGTCTTGGGAAAACCCTGATGTGATATGCTAAGATATTCAATATCTATTTTGCTTGTCACTACTTATGCTCTTTACTCACTTAAGATGCCTTCAGTCTACAATAATGAAAATTGTGAACAGTCAGTTTCACTTTCAGATTCTTATTTCTGCTATATGGGGATTTTTACACTATAGAGTTTGATTCGTGGGTTTTTTTTCCCTCTTAATTTTGAAGTAAATAAAGTATTTTAACTGAAGGAAGGCATATAGTGGGATATTACTGGCTTTCAGGTGGCTTAAAAGCTTGCATTTACAAAATCTGCAGTTACAGCTGCCAGTTACAGTCCACTTGTCACCTTACTGAGAGTGAACTAGTCTATCAATCAAAATATTAGTTACAGTGTTGTAACTTGACTTCTGTATTGCTTCTGTGATATTTTTAATTCTATTCTAACAGAGGAGTGAAGGGAGGAAAAAGTGAGACCACTACTTTTGACAAGTTTAGGTTGTCATATGACACTCGTGAAACCAGCTTCAGACTCTGAGGACAAGTGTCTTCTAGTGTCTTCTGTAGAGCAAGGCCAAGACTAAAAGAGATGCACATTCCCTTCAAGCTCTTCCCTAGTGACACAGAGAAGAAATGGTCATCCAATTCAAAGGAAAACTTATGGGCACTTGTAGTTGAGATGGCTTTAAATGCTACTGCCTCTAGCTATGTGCTCTGCTTCTTAGGTGATGTTACAGCTTTTCACTGTAGAACTGGAAGAAGGAATTGCATACCCATACACTGGCTGATGTAGCTCATGGTTCAGCAAACTAACTTGAATGGTCATTGATTTTAGTTTAAAATAATGCACTCAAACTAGAGCCTGTACAAACACAGGGAAGGAAAACAGTTCTATTGTCAGGGGAGATAAAAATTTCCTTCTCCCTTCCCATGAGCTAAGAAGGTTATCTCTAACTAAATTCCTATATATGATTTTAGGCTGCTAGGAACGTAAATAAAAAGGGAGAATTCTACAGAGAAGTAGCTAGGATGATCCAGAGTCCTATTTTTCTATTTTCTCATCTGTGAGAAAGGCAAAAAGACAAGGTTTCTCAAGGCCAGCAATACAGTGAAGCTAGCTAAGAGGCCTGGAAGCTGCTTTTGCAGATAGCTATGACATCCCAGGAGGCACTATTCAGATTTAATGTGTCAACAGCAGCTGCTTTTCCTCCCTGCAGGCAAGGGGAGGAAACACATTCACTCTTTTTCACCAAGTTTGATTTCTCTAAAATCCCTGCCATAGCCTTCTTTTCAACAGCTGCATTTTGGAGGTGCTCCAACAAGGAAAAAACATTTATTTCGTAAATGGGACTGACAAGACACACTGCTTTAAGTGGCCTCCTGGACACTGCTTCTCATGCACAATATCTCACCTGAAGAACTACTAACTCAGATGGATTTGTTTTTCTTTAATAAAATAATATCCAAAATACGTTTTAAGTGGTGGTTTGGTTTTTTTTACTCACCAGAACTGGGTGCGATTCAGAGACGAATGAAGCACATCAGGCCAATAGTGTCTCATGTCTGATAAAAGATCCTAAAAACATCACAATTAATAAAGGCAACTACAGAGTTCAAAAGCTATTTCTTACACAATCTACACACACTGACACATTTTCTAGAACTGATATCTCATTTTTTTACATTCCAAACTGAAACATTTACTTGCAAAAAAAGGAAAGGTCTTTTCCCCCAATATTCTGAAAATGCTGTTGCTTGGAGGTAACAAGTAGGTACAACTATCTAAGTATCTGAATGTACCAATACCAACACACTGTCCCAGTATAAGATTTTCCTTCAACTACCCCTGCAGCAGTTGTTCAGTCACACAGCTTTTCACATTTGTCAGCATAAGCCTCCTATCCCCATTTACGACACATTTGAATGAAACATGGATTATTTTTCTTAATTAAAAACAATGCCCTGGGAGAAAACAGATAGAAAACTGTCATCTGTACTCTTATTTAATGTGTTCTGGCTTTGCAGTAGAAAATGGAAGAGAGAACACTGACTGACTGTAACCACTTTTTCCACAGGTACTTTTTGCCACTGCACATCCACCTCCTATGTTCTCTAGATTTTTTTAAGGAGGGTGTAGCTGAATGAGTCAAACTGCATACCTACAAAATAAAGTAGGAACAGCTGCTAATGATCACAAGCACTTCAACTTCAAGCAGTAGCAGAAGTACCTAATGAATTTGTTCTTAATGAGTCCTTAAAAGAACATACCTCTCAGCAAACATCAAAAATTATACATTTAAAGCTACATTTTGCATAAAGGATGTGCAAAAGTAACTGTGCTCAACTTGGCGCAACTGCTTTTGTTTTAAACAAATACCTTAATCTCAGTGACATTGAAATGCCATGTCCTGTTACACTCTTCAGTTTTGTCAGGCCTAGGGAAGCAAAATGAAAGTGAGAAAAGATGTCTCTCAACTCATTAATAGTAACTAACAGCATTCGATACTATACAATTAGTTTGAATTTTAAATATGCAGGTTTATAGCTAGAGATTTTATTTAGAAATGCAAGTATCCCATCAGCATCTACAGTGGTTTAGAAGTAAAAATTCAAGACATTATGGCCAAAACATTTCCAATGCAGAAGCTTTTCCTTAGGCCCTTGAGTCCCTCTCACTCTGGGTTGAAGTCATACAGGGGAAGTAAATTATACAGAAGGGTCTTGCACATGATGTCACTAATGACAATGACCTCCTCCAAGCACTGAACCAAATGATGATTCTGCAAGTATCACCAACACACTCACTGGAAATCTAAACATAATGTTGCTCACCTTTCCAGGATGCATAGCTTAAAACTCCTGTACTGAATTTTTAACTGTATTTGTTAGGAAAACCTTTGAATTGCTGCCACTGGCACCAATCCCAGTGAGTTGATTCCTTAGATGCAAATTACTTTTGCCTGCACTTTTGCAATATTTGTGCTGAGTTAAGATACTTAAAGCCGCAAGCAGTCACAAGACATTAACGAAGTTGTGCACTCATGGAAGCAGGGGGAAGGGAAACTATACTTCCCTTTCTGTTTGAGAATACTACTGATCTTGCAAGGACATTGTCGTGGTTCATGTACATGTACATGTACAAAAAAAATGTTCATGTGGCAAGAGGATTTCTGAAGCTTAGCAAATCATGAGATACAAAAGGGTATTTCAGTTCTGATTCAAACCATAGGGTTTTCATTTCTAACAAAATGAAGGCTTTTGTTTCAAGGAATCATAAAACCAGACAGATTAAGCCCTCAAAAATAAATAAATAAAAATACAAAAAAGCACTCAACATCCAGGTACAAAACTTGATTTTTCCTTTCCAGGCTGAAATGAAAACACTCTTATGATCATACCACAGCCCATGGATTGTCCAGTACTCTGGAGGGTGTTCACAATCATTAGCACTCATCTGTGGAAAACAAAAATACATAGTATTTGTTGCTTGTGACGGATAGTACTTAAAGGAAAATATAAAAGCTCTTTCACTGGTGGTCCAAGGCTCCAGTGAAACATGAGAATTGTTGCTTGCCCAAATCAGGAACTGGTGAACCAGTTACTTGAAGCTGTCAAGGATTGTGTCACTTAGCAGAGACCAGCTGGAATTAAAGTTTTTAGGCAGATCCTGAACACACAGCGTAAAATGAAGACAAAGGACACGCTCTGAAGTAATAGAAAGTAGCCTGATAAATGCTAAATATATGGAGCTACATCTTCATGTATCGTATTCCAGGTGGCAGCTCTCTGTTTTTCTCATAATCAGATTTTTTCAAGGAGTGCATAACCATTAAAATAAAAAACATCAATATAAACTATGATATTAGACAAGCACACAACCACCCTTAGCATCCAGTAGTTTGTTATATTAAAAAGAAAAAATACAAAGAAGAGATGAAATAGGTTGGTTATTCCAAGTAAAATAGAATATAATTTGTAAATATTTCGACTTGAGGGACAAGGAAATGGAAAGAAAAGGAAAGATTATACATATCCCTACAAAAATAAAAAGGCCCCAGCCAAAACTTTTGATAATGCAGGAGAAACAGCCTACACAATTATTTAGAGCAAAGTACATACTCCTGAACAAAACAAATCCATATTCACATATCACAATATTTTCCCTGATTATTATAATGGTTGGACTCGATGACCTTTTTTTTTCCTTCTAGTAAACACTATTCATGATTAAATAATGACCTTCTCAGATTTAATTCCCTATACTAATAGCTTTTCTTTTTGGCTCTACATCCTGCCTTAATTATGCCACAATACCTTTTATGTGATGCCAGAGCAAGAGTAGAGCATAGAGAAGAGCAGAGAAGCCTTCCTAATCTCACTAATTGCCTTCCCCATGCCACAAGCCAGTGGCAGCTGAACTGTGAGCTCTGCAAGACTTCCTTGTTCTGTGCCCATTTCCTTCCTCTCCTTTCTTGTCACCAGTAACAAAAGCAACTAACCCAGCAACAGCTTTTTTTTTTCCCTCCCCTGAAAGGACTATTTTTCAACAAATACATACTGCAAGTGCTTCAACAGTATTGCTCCTGTCATGGCACAAGCTTTGGGGAGCTGAAAGAGTTCAGCTATCTAGCCCAAAATACAGCAAATTAATACCAGAAGCTAATGCATCATCCCCTGAAAAAAAACCAAAAACACCAAAAAAAAAAAACCAAAACAAAACAAAAAACCCACCAAAAAAAACAACCAACAGCTAACCAGATTGCTCAAGCAAGGTGGTAACAAGAACAGGGCAATTGTGCTCCTTATCCAACCTTTAACTGCAGGTCTCAGACATGCTAAAGGAAAGCCCAGAGTATTTTAAACTTGGAATCAGTTCTCTCCTATCACAGCACTAACCTTATTAGCAGTTTCTTCTACACATTTCATCAGGCTTTTAGTGTTACACTGTGTGCTGGCAGAACTGTGAGATCAATGCAATGTACAGTGCTTTAGTTCACAGTTTGCATGCTTTTCCAGCTTCATTCATCCTCCTTTTTAATTCTAGCCACAGCAGTTTTCTATTGTTCATTTTAAATCAGTATCATGAAATCAACAAATGCCAGTTTGAGAAGCTGGGTACCCCTGCTGCTTCTACAAAAACACTTCTTGTCAGCCTTCCCGTTTATCATATACTGATCGCTGAAGGATTAATTCAACCTCAGGCAACCACTGATTTCAAATAGTTACAAATGTGTATTTTCAAGTAGACACTGGACAGCAGAAAGCCTTCTATATCTAGATTAATTTGAAAAAAGAACATTGCTTTCTCCCGGTTTAAAGCAATCTGATAATCAAGCAAATACAAATTAACCACACATGACATGTAACACCAATAGAAGTGGCAGTGAGCCTCAACTGCACCCACCATGCTGAAAGGGAGTGCTGAAGAGAGATTAGCATCTTTATAACAGCAAGACACAAGACAAACAGCAGCTGCCAGAACTTTGGAGACTGCTTTCACCTCCAGAATGACAGGAAGTGAAACATCATCAAACTGTTATGGAATTGTTACCTGGAGGGATGCCTAAGTTACAAATCCCTTGGTACAGTTGCTGGTACATAGGAGAAAGTCAGCTTCTACGAAGTGAAATATTTAATCCTGCTCTCCTTTTCAACCACCCTAAGAGGGCCATCTCTTTAATTAAGATCAATTTTAAGTGTTATTTTGGAATGATACATCACAACTGCTATGAAAAATTCTTGCTTTTGAAACTGCAGAGAGAGTTCGCCTCCTCAATCTCTCTCCCCAGACAATATGTAATTATTCCCCTTCTTCCTTTCCCCCCCTCCCCGGGGCAAAACTAATCAATGAATGAACCAAATTTATAAGGTTGGCGAAAAAACTTGGGAAAAGGGAAACAAAACACATTTACTTCTTCTTGAACACCTCCCTAGCACGAGCTGGTATGCTAAAACCTTTCATGTGTTAATCCTTATAGAAGATAAAGACCCACAAAAAAAATCTAAACCAGACCTTAGTCGCAGAGCCATGCGAGATACAGATTAAGAGGTCTCTTACAAGTTACATGGCCATTTACTGAAACAATTTTACTTTGTTCAAAAATAGCATATGTGAAAAGCTGGACTCATTTTGACACACTTGGTTTAATACACAAATTAAGAAATAAAGGTATCCCTTTACCTAAGGAACTTTATGGTCCAATGCTAGATGTGACTACTTCTACTTAAAAAAATAACTAAACAAAACAAAATTTTATCTCCTATATTTTTTGTTTAAAAAAAAAAAAAAAAGTTTCATTTGCTGCATAATACTACATTCAAATTTGAATTCAGGCTGTTCTGTTCACTAGCCTGTTCTGCTGCCTTTTCTTTGATCCTTTAATTTGATCAGCACATACATGCAGTAAAAGGCAGATGACAGCAGGCTTTAGTACCCATTTCTTGATCATCCTTCCCATTCTCAAAAGACAGGGGGAAATGAATAGCCTACAAACTTGCACTGGATTTTCCCCATTTCACAAGGAAATGCCCACAGAAGATTCTTCTTTTTTTGCAATCTCAAAGATGCAAAAGCTGCAATAATATTTCCCTACTTAAGTTCCTGAATTAAATATATTCACAGCTCCATAAGAAGGGAGTGGAAAAGTCCCTCTTCTTGCCCTTGAGTTGCTCCTATTTTCACCTAACAGGACCAACATTAATTTGTGACCAAAAAGCTTAAGCATGATGTGAATTAGTCATATGAAGTTCAATAAAGTGCACCACAGGCACAATTTATTAAGGGAATTAATTTCATAATCACTTGAGGTCAGCTTGAGAATTTTGTTTGGATATCTCTGCTGAAGACATAGTCACTTTAGGTCAGTTATATGGTACTGGAATTTCTAATCACATGATGAGGAAGAATACCTCTCTCTCCTTCACCCTTTCACTGCAGCAGTCCATAGTTAAATCCTGCAGTTATTATGGCTTCCATGATACTCACTATTTTAATAGGTTAATTTAGATGATATGATTACAAAACACTTTTCAGTTTAATTGTGCTGGTCACAGTATTAAAAAGCACCAGCTGTACTCAGTTTAAAGCACAGAAAGACCTGGCAGATGTGTATTCTCAATTTCTAGTGTGTCATTTAAGAAAGGCCTTTTAGGTCTTCAAAAGCCTGAAAAACTTGTTGAGATAGATATGCAAAACAGCTAGGAATTAAAAGATAGGTCCTCCACACACCTGTCAAGAACACTGTATGTAGCAAAGCAGTCTAACTAGTACTTGCACAAAGTAGTGTCTCAAGGTCTTTTTTACATAAATGATATAATGAGTTCTGTGGTTTCCTTCACCCAGCTATTTTTCCTTTCAACATCATATCAACAGTTTTAAAATGAAGAATGATATGAGAAAATATTCCCTCCCTGAAATAACATGGGAATCATACACAAATACATTGAACATGAAGAATAATCTCTGTACTTAAGAAAAAGCCCACAGCTGAATTTACAAACCTCCCTTACATTAATGTTTGCAAAAAGAAAGCTGTTACGGGAGTATAGTTGAGATTCTGTTTCTCCATGCGACTCAGTGATGGGAAACTGGGCAAAAAGTCACTTCATATGATTTTAACCTTTTTTTCCACTCCTTTGAAATGCTTCTTTCTACCTCTTAATACAGAAGATCATAAGGAATCAGCAAAGGATAAAAAAGCCTAGATTTTCTGATGCTTCATGTCTTAAATTATTCATTACAATTTCACTGGAAGGTTATAAAGGTTATTCGTTGATTTACCAATGGCACTACCCTGGAAATAAGAGTAGCAGCCAGCATAAATACACAGTGGGAAAAATGGTTGATGGGGGTTTTTGTTTGGTTGGTTTGGGTGTTTTTTAGTTTCTTTGTTGGGTGGGTTTTTTTTTAAAATATTATTATTTATTACTATTCATGTAAGCAAGAGTTTGCACTGCTACTGACTTTGAATGCCCACTCATGCCAGGCACTACAAGCTCCTGAACATCAACATCTCTGCTTGAAGTCAGTTAAGTGATATTTACTCCGCAGAAATGACACAAATGGTAGCAAATCTGCCCTTACTCCCCCTCAAAAACAGGCAAACAAACAAATAACAGAACAGTGGCCACTCCTTGGTGTCAGTTAGTCATGCACATATGAGGTTTGTTACTGATACTTCTCTCTACATTTAACTAATGTTAAATACATCTAGTTTTCCTCAGAAACAGGTAGTATGTGAATTGTTGCTACTGCTTTTATACATATTGCCAGAAATAGGAATTAGAGAAATAAAAAGTACCTAAGGTACAAAAAAATAGACTCTAATATTGTAATAAATAAACCTAAGTCTCCCAGAATTAGGACCTTTTCGGCTCCAGAGATTTTGGCCTGAAAGTGAGGCTTCTCTATTACCCATAGGGTTCTTCATCCCTGTGTCAGAAGACCTGATCACGTCTTGCACTTTGAAGTACAGCATATTTTTAACTTAGCTATGTGAAGAGAGGCCTTCGTGTATTTCCAGCAGAGGAAAAATGTTCTACTTAACAGATGGCAGAACGTATTTAATAGCAAAAGGGACATATGTAGTATACCTTTTAGCTGTGCTTCTGACAGACATACGTTGGAAGGTTAAGTTCATTTTTGGTTCCCATACTCTGAAATACAGAAATGCTCAGACACCCCTGCATAACTGCTTTACAGTTCTCTTCTTTCTGACTGTGTCTGTATTTGGTGACTTATCATTAAAATGCTGAAGCCAACATCACAAAGCTAAAATTTGTTTTGCAGCAGGCAGTTCAAGTACAGTCTTCAGTCAGAGAAGGCAGGCAAGTCTTCCTACAAAGTCTGGTGAAAATCTAGGATTAAGTTTACAATTAACAAAACGTAACAAAATGTGTAACAAACAATTAAGGCTTAGTGTACAGTATGTCTGACATTGACTATTGTATCTCTATTACTCCATAATCCTGTCTTGGTTACTGCTACTCTGGAATGCAGGGGAACTAGCAAACGGTACACGAAGATCAGTAAACCCTTTATAAAGATACAAGGGCATAATCAAGATTAAATGCTTGATAAGCTTTGCCCACTGTGTTTTCAAACATTGATTGCCCAAGGCTACCTTTGTCAGGATAAAAGAGAACAAAACACAGAAGTCTCACCTTACATACAGTCACTGGCCAATGATGAACAAGATACAGCTTCTTCCAGGTATGAGGGTGGTTGTCACTGGCGAAAGACAGACAAATCTATTTTTCCTCAAGCATTTTAAGAAAAGCAACACCAGCAGCACAATGCTTACTAGTATAACACATTGATTTTAGAGCTGGTTGTTGCTTATAACTTCTATTGCAATACTGGAAGACTCCAAACACAGCATGACCAAACTAACAAATCACACAGAAACAACATACTTTGAAACCTGCTGATACCCCCTCATTGCTAAACAAATTCTATTCCTGGCATCCTATTTCCATATGCTTTCCATTTCTTAAATATGGAATAAACATGTTATTCTCTTTTATATTTAGGAGAGTGCTTACTGGCAAGGTTTTACAACAATTAAAAAGTCTTTGTTTAGAATGCTAAGAATCATCTAATTTTTATTGATGGGTATATTAGCTGAGAAGACAGTATACAACATTCTTAGAACTGTAACTACTCTCCTGAAAAAGAAAGACTACAAACAATCACAAGCAATGTAGCTGACGCTGCAGGAGACGCCATTTGACCCTGCAAGTAGCTCCAATCTTTTAGAATTAACCCAAACAAACAAAAAGCCCAAACAAAACAAGAATAAAAAGTAAAAAACGTATCTAAAAAAATGCTGACTTTATCATTTCATGGACATTTAATTCTAACACTACATTTTCAAAATATTTAATAAGAATTAAGTGATTTTTAAATTAAAAATAAATGAACTTACTCAATAAATAATCAAACTGTGACACACTCTTAAGGTTACCTAAGGAAGAACTGAAGAAGGAATACCCCATATTTTACAAAAGCATTTGTGTTTCAAAGCCTTTTACAATAGAGAGACCTGTAACTCACAGAGGCACCAGTGCTATCTTATTCCTATACAGAGGGAGGAAAAAATAAAAATGCTTAAAAATTTTGTTTGAAAAGTATTGGAAGCCTATGTCTTTGCCAGTTCTAGAGGCATTTTCCAACAGTTTTGAGCAGACATACTAGAAGTAGATACAAAACCTGTTGCTTCAGACACTACAGCAGACATAATTAGCTATTAAGCAACCACACTGAGCGATTAAATAGAACAGCAAGTGGGAAATCCAACAAAAACAGAACTCTAAACTATTTTTCCATCTGACAGCACTGTGTGCAGTACTGTAAAAATAAATATATATTCTCTGGAAGTTATTAGATACATGCCCTTCATTTATGCTTGCCAGAGATCATATATAAACAAACAAATGAAACGATAGCTAATTCCTCTCAACTTGAGGAAGTATAGATGCTCCCACGTTTCATCACTTCTCAGTTTTTTCCTCTAGTTTTGCTAGTTTGCAATGGCCACACTTTCTCTTAAGCATTCACACGTATCTATGGTTTCTAAATAATTTAGCAGAATAGCTCTGGAACAAATCAGGCGTAGCCACAATGAAAATTATTAATACTTTCAACTGGTCTTCACTGCTGCTGTGGAAACCTGAATAGAAGAAGAATAATACCCCAGTACTGTAAAGCAGTTAAATTTCCTTGCTTTACAAAAAAAACAAAAAAACTAAAAAAAAAACCAAAAAAACAACAACATACACAAAAAAGAAAACCCAAAACCAATAACAACAACAAAAAACCCCAAATATCTTCCATCTATATTTGAAATAGCAGCTGAGCTTCTGCAATGACAACCATGCCAAAACAAGTTCTCCTAGAACACTTTCTAGCTAAGAATAAGTGAGAAAATTTTGGTTATTAAATAGAGCAAGTTTTAGACACTCAAGCTCATAACTGGAATCCAAGGAAAGCCTTGGATTTAATACCTGTCCAGCTTCAGGGATACCTCCCCTCTTTTTGACCCGTCATCCTGCTCTGTACAGTTCAGCACTGTGCTTCCACTGCCAAGACGGCCAAGCCACTGCCCAAGTCCTGGAAATTCAGGAAACCTCAGCACAGTGCCTAAGCTACCAACCAGCTGCAATGCAGCCATTATATGAAGTTCAGCACTGAACTGCGCATCCTTAACCACTCTCTTGCCAAAACACTGAAAGGAAGGAGGAAGGTTTATTTCCTAATAGAATGCAATAGAAATTTGGGCTTTTACCACAGAAGGGCATAATATGGGGCATGGGTCCCCATGGCCCACTGGTATTCAAGCTCAGATTTTGCCAAGTGCTACAACCACCAAAAGGCTGTAAGAGCCTCAGATGGGATGCTGTATGAAAAGGAATGTAAAATCACTGGAATGAAGAAAATAGCATGGGGAGGGAGAAGAGATATTAAAGAAAGTATATAATGCAACAGTTGGTACAATTTATGCCATAGGGATGATTCTGGTTTTTGTTATAGGTCACAAAATCATTCCTGATTTTTGGCATTGCTACAACACAAGCCTAAATGATTCATTTAAAGCAGGATTGCAAAGGTCTTCAGAGCAATGAATGACTTTTAAGTTTCTTTCCTTTTTTCATGCTGACACATTAACAAATGTAAAGCTTTTCTCAGGCATGACCCCCACTCCTCCAGTTAATGCAGATGCCTCATTTTACCAGTCACCTAAGGCAGAATAACACATCAAAAACAGCACGCAATAAAATAGTAAAATTTCCACTCATTAGAAGTTAAACTGCTTTATTCTGTTTTAAGTAAAAACTGTCAGAGATTCTAATTTAAAGCATAACTTACCTTTGAGTGAATTTATCTGAAGTACACCAACCACATAATGCCATAGAAAACCAACCCAGAACCCAATAGTGCAGCTTTGCAGGCTTCATTTTGTTAATCGAATAGCTGAAAAAAAGGTGTTAAAAGAAGAAACATGTTACTCATCCAATGCACTAAATTACAAGTGTTGAAACGCAAAACCCCACAACTATCTCAGAAACAGCACGCAGTACCGACACTAGAGTAGATTTACAAGCATGTGTAAAATGAGGGTCTCTTTCAAGGCTCTGCCCAACTCCCCAGCTTGTATGTCAATTTTTATAATCTAATGGAATTAATGATGACATCATGGCTTCCTTTTTCCTTTACTTCCAGAGTCTCAACAGAGCCACTTTTCAATAAATAGATACATAAACCTTCTATGCAACCATACTTTATGTAATGCAAGACTCTACTTGTGGTCAGCTCAAATGTCCCAAATGATTCATTCTGAACTTTGAACTTAACACTTAATATTCATGTTGGCTTGACCAAGACTGGTAATTAGACACTCGCTGGAAGTCAAGTATGATGTCCAAGGATAAAATTCTCTCTAAATATCAGTCAACTACTAAACTGATACTAAAAAAAAAAAAAAAAAAAAAAAAGGTACTGCTAAAACCAGATTAGTTTCTGTTCTTCTTCTAAACCTGAGAGCCTCTACAAAACCATGCATAACCTGCCTACGACCTCATGATCTTTACAAATCAGGGGAGGAAAAAAATCCACCAAATCAGCTTAACTTTCACCAACAGAATGACTTTCACTTGGCACAGGTCAAAAAACCCCAGCTGCCTCCTGTGCCCACCAGCCATTTCACAGCATTTCAAGTGCTACTTCCTAGATGTCAGAAATAGATGTACATGTGTGTATTTGCATATAATTATTAATGCTTCATCAAACCTACTTTCCAACTTCCTCATTTTGAGAACCCCACAAATATAGCACTATAAAACACTGTGTGTATCTACCCCTTCTAAGGCCATTCACTACACAAGTCATATCCTTTTCTCTATGAGGGTTCTAAAATTAATTCTTTTTTGTAACAGTCAAGGAAAGACTGGTCTGACACCAGTAAAGACGTTGCTGATTCAGCCATTAAGGCTAACTTTAGGAAATTCAGTGTAATTCTCATCCACAGCTCATTAAAGCAATAGTCCATTCTCCCCATCATTACTGTGGGGCTCAGCCTGCAGATCTTCCCCGAAACGCTACCCTGCAGTTCTGCAAATGCCATAGCAGACCTGACCCGCAAGGGAGCCAGCCTCCCAGCTTGCAAAATGTGCCAAGATTTCAAAACCATTGCTTGGGCAACAACTGTAGCAGTTAACCAGCTAGGTTTATTACTAGGTTTTGGTAAACTATGGAGAAATTGCAGCCATTAAGATTGCAATCTATTTCAGATGTTAATGTCTCTCTAATTCATAATGGATATACTATCATGATAAAAGATTGGCCTAACAGAAGGTATTACTAGATAAACATTAGTTGGCAACTGTTAATTTTTTGATTTAGGTCATTAAAAAATGACCTTCAGGGATTTTCACTAATCAGGCAATATGAGCCCAAAAAAATAAAACAAAATTTGGAGTGTGCTACTGTGTAAAAAAGCAATCAAGTTGCCGGCTGGGCTTAAACCACGACAATGACGTAGAACTAATGTTTTTCAAAAGCTACACCTTGTATTAAAGAAATTGATATATTCACATAATGCACACAAAAACAGCAAATAAGTAATTAACTGCTGGGTATCCAATTTCCCCAAGAGTTTGGCATTTAAAGTTATCTCAAGTCTTATCACTTGAAAAAATGACATGAGTTTCAGCCTTATAGACCTGCTTATGATTTCATCTCCTGTCATTTTCAACTGATAACCAAGAAAGACTATTTTTCTGCATGATAAACTATCTACCCAACATAAAATATTGAGAGATGTAAGGACTCCTTATGTAATATTCTGCCCTACCTATAAAAAGCACATTTCTTAGGAGAGCAGAAAGTACCACTTTAAAGACAATGTCACCTACCATCACCAAAAAAGACTGCACTGTACAAGGGTGTGAAAAAAACATCTTAAGGAAGTAGATTATGGAAGAAAAATAAACCAGCAAGCATTATAGCATTTCTTTTGCAAACTGTTATAACTTAAGTTGGCAAGCACAAAGAAATATTTCCCCTCCATCCCCCAGTGACTAAACTGCGAAAAAGCATAAAGGCAATTATGTCTCTTGCTGAACTCTTGCATGAGATCAAATACAGACCAGGCACAGAGCGGGGCTTAAAAAAATGCTGCTATCAGAACAGTGGAATGTATTGATTTATTCTGCATATTGCTCTGCACCCTGAAACCAGAACATAGGGACAACTGTGACAGTAAGCAGATCTGAAAGCCCCCGATCTGTAACTTTTACATAACAAATCACTTTTTTTTTCCACTGATAAACAACACACAAACTCTAAGGCTTTTGTCTAGAAGATAATATTGCAGCTACCATGACACTATCATGATTTACTCAAGCTGACTTTGTTTTCCATGCTGACATTGATGGTGGGAGGTGAAGCGTGTCAATCTCACCTGAAATGCACCCAAATTATGCATATTTGAAGAAATACAAATTAGAATCCAAATTAAAACTGTAGTAACAACTGAGATTTACGAAGCACATCTGATTTTAATAAAAATTGTTTGTTTACTAAAAATTACACTGGATTACTAATTCCACAAATACAAGAAAGAAGAGATTAACAGATTTTATACCAGTTCTACTCTATTACAAGGAAATGGAGATTTCAGATTATGAAAATTAGTTATAAAAAAAGTCATAATGTTCCAAAAGACCTCATAATGAAGAGAACACTTCAAAATGAAACATGCATACATATATAAAATCATTATTTGAAACTAGGCTATCAACACATTTTCACTTTAGGTAAAATTCCAAACGAATAGCTTTGTGATGACTCTTGGTTTACTTTATCTGGACGTGAATGTGCAACGCTTGCGTGAGTGTTAGTACAAGTCAGGACAAGGTCACTCTCACCTATGTCAGCATTGTTCAATGTTGGTATCAAAATTACCTGCACAGGTTTATCAAGGTATCAAGGACTAGAACTTGCAATAAACAGTGTTGCAATCTTTCCTGAACACATTTACTATGGTTTGAATTCTAATAAACTATTTTGAGGGGGCTGCTGACATAGCAACTGCTTCTTTTGGACACCAGCAATTACTTACCTGTATTTTACTCTCTACAGAAGGGGCTGCAGAAGAGCACTTAAGCATTAGCTAGAGAACTCCCATGGCATACACGCAGTTAAGTGTTCTGAGATATGAATCAGGACAGCTAGCCTGGCATCTAAAACCACAAAAATAAGCACCCAAGGTTTTGGCATGATGTCAAACAAGGCAGCACACACTACCTCCAAAACAAGAGTTTTAACATCCAGGTTACAAAACTGAATGCCAGAAACATTCACTTAATTTATAATGCTCTTACCTCCAGCAACTTTTACCTCCACAGCCCTCTTCCAGCTAATCATGCATCCCAAGCCCGAGTGCTCCTCTAAGTAACTACAAAAAGCGCCTTACAAACCACAATTCAAAGCAGAACTTGTGCCGCAGGGGTCTGAGGCTGAGTTTGGCAGGACCTCGGTGCTGTATTCAGCCCTTCCGTTGGCTTCCTGGGGAAGTCTTGCGAAGGCAGCACCTTGCTTTTCTCACACACAAACTAACACGCTGCTCTACTTTCAGCACAGTGTTTTAACTTACTGACAGCATAACGCTCTTGCTCCAGCTAAACAATCATGCCATTTTATTACAAAGGTGTTTTCATAAACCGTAAAGAATGCAAACCAGCAGAGAACCCGAAACAGGATGCGTGCAAGTGACAGAAGGGTGCCAAAGCTGGTGACACGTATACAAAGGAAAGCTACGAGCAGTTTTCCCAACGCTGGGAAATACAGCGATTTCTTTGGCTGACTTTCGACTTACTTAACAGGGAATTTAAGGTATAAGAAACGTAACCTGACAGGACTTGAGCCCTACCAGCCCTGCAAATCCCACCTAGCCTCGTACAAGTCAGTGATCTCACTGGGAGGCAACAGGCACGAGAGCTCACACAGACACCCCGCGGGGGG